CTAAAGCGATCCTCCCGCCCCAGCCTCCCGAGTAGCTGGGACTACAGGCACGCGCCACCATGCCCGGCTAATTTTTTCTATATATTTTTAGTTGTCCAGTTAATTTCTTTCTAATTTTAGTAGAGACGGGGTCTCGCTCTTTGCTCAGGCTGGTTTCGAACTCCTGAGCTCAAACAATCCGCCCACCTCGGCCTCCCAGAGAGCTAGGATTACAGGTGTGAGCCACCGCGCCTGGCCCCTGGCCAATTTTTAAAAAATTTTTTTGTAGAGATGGGGTCTCACTATATTTCCCAGGCTGGTCTCAAACTCCTGGCCTTAAGCAATCCTCTCGCCTCAACTCAGCCTCCCAAATTGCTAGAATTACAGGTGTGAGCCACCACACAAGGCCAGCTCTCTGCTTTTAAGGGCTCATGTGATTAGATCAGGGCCACCCAGATAGTCTCTGTATCTTAATGTCAACAGTCCCCTATAACATAACCAGGGAGTGATATCCAATTCACAGGTTCTGGGGATTAGAGGTCATCTTTAAGAGGGTCATTTATTCAAGCAGAGGTACACATGAAATACTATAGTTTTTTTAAAAAGGGGGAAAAAAAAGAGGGTCATTTTAAAAATTCTGCCTACCATAGCACTTATTTCAAAAGATAAGAGATGATCTTTTGTGGGTGGAGTAGGGGGAGAAAGTAGGAGTAAACCATTTCTAACTAACCATTTACACTAATAAGGGAAGCCAAGTATTTGAGATGAGAAGGGCCTGACCTCATGCCTGGTATTCTATCCATGTCTTGTTGTGTCTGAAGTGGCTACTTTGATGACAACGTACTAATATTCATAGCGCCTCATGGTAGATGCTCAAAAATAAAGAAATTCTAAGGAATGACTGCGTACTAAAAGATCTTCCCATGTTTTAGTTTTTCCTCATCAAATGGTGAGAACACCAAGATGTCCAGGAATGTGTCCTAAGAATACATGTTGGAAAATGCATGGTATTATGAGATATAGCTCAATAAAGGCAAAATTTCATTGCTCAAAACTTGGAGGACTAAGACAATATTCTCTACTCACCAGTGTGATACTACTGCTCTTCCTTTTTCTAGTTCAGAATTCTACATGAATATTCCTTCATTTTATTTGAGTGAAGACACAGAACTGACACAGAACTGCCCTAGGTGTCTAGACATCAACTCAAACTAAATCACCAGTGTTGTCCCTGAGCAGCTTTCTCCTCCTGGTGACCTTGCGAAGGCCTCAACTAATAAGTTTATTTTAAAAGGGAGGCTGGAGCAGGGCTCCTCATTACTGCTGTTTAGCATTTAGATGATTTTCAAGGGGCACCATTTACTTCTAATGAGGATAGCACAAACCTACTGACATTCCTCCCCGGTGTCAAAGAAACACAATTGACTCTGTGGAGTAAGAAGAGGGAAGCAGTTCCCTGTCTTCAGCATCCCTAGGTTCTCTCTCCAGATGGTTTCTGGCTGGACTTTAAAAATTTTGGATAATCAGTTCCCTCTTCTATGCCAACCCTCTTCTGGGTAGCACAGACACTGCCTATAAAAAGGCTATAAAATGTTCTTAGCTCCATGAATGAGAAAGCAAATTATTAATATAATCCATATACATTGCATTTTGATGGCTTTATCCTTTCCAAATGCTCCGGGTACCTTTGCACACACTTGCATAATCCCTGGGATGAGTATTTATTACCCATATTTAGTACATGGGGAGAAACTGAGGTTCTATAAAGTTACTGATTAGTCGTCTGCCCAACATCACAGTGGCCATTGCTAGAAGAGAGATTAGAACTAGTCTTCTAATTTCAAATCATGTGCTATTTCTAAAACTACCAGCACAAGTAGAAAGCTTTCATACATGTTATCAAAGTTGGAGAGATCTTTGGAAAATTTGCTCTTGGACCCTATTAAAACATAGCACTCCCCTACCAAGTTCCAAGATATATTAGGTTATTAAGTATGAAATGTCTGATGCCCTTAAATACTAAATTTGACAGTTGATATCTCTGACATTTCACTTTGACACTCTTATTTTTATTGTGAAGGTACATCCTCATTTTTTCAAACACAAAGTTTGGCTTGTGATTATCTTTCAAATTTTTTTTAGAGCAATATTTGTGAAACCATGGATAAGTAAAAAATTTGTGTTATTTTCAAATATGAGTTCCATCGTGGAATCATGCTGTGCAGATAGCTCAAAACATCAATGAAGTGTTTGGGAAGGATGTGGCTAATCAACACACAGTATGTCAATGGTTTGAGAAGTTCTGTTCTAGTAATTTTAATCTTGAAAATGAGCCATATGGGCGATCAGAGACCAAAGTGGATAATGATGAGTGAAATCTGTAGTGGAAACAAAGCCATCTCAACCTATGTGTGAATTAGCAGCAAGGTTTAACATTACTATTCCAACATTGGACCATTTGAAATTTTTACACTGTATTGTTACATGTGATGAAAAATGGATTCTTTTTGACAATCACAAGCGTTTGGCACAATGGTTGGATAAAGATGAAATGCCGAAACAGTTCAAAACTTACCATTCATCAAGAAAAGCTAAGGGTGTCTCTGTAGTCCAGCACTGGTATTATCCACTACAGCTTCATGAAACCTGGTCAATCCGTTACAGCGGATGTCTACTACAACTAATTGGACAAAATGACGAGGATGCTTGTGATTAAGCAGCTGAGATGGATCAATAGAGACAGGCCAATCCTCTTGCAAGACAACGTTCAACCACGTCATACAAACAATGCTGCTCAAACTACAGAGGCTGGACTTAGAAACTCTCTGTCATCTACCCTATTCACCGGACCTTGCACCAACTGACTACCACTTTCTCCAGGCTTTGGACCACTTCTTACAAGGAAAAATATTCAATTCTCAACAAGCTGTGGAAAATGCTTTTTGCAATTTCATCGCCACTTGCTCTCCAAGCTTCTTTGCTGCTGGCATAAACAAGCTACCATTAAGATGGCAAAACTGTATTGATAATTTAGGTGCATACTTTGATTAATTGTACTGCTTCTTGTTTGAGATATAATAAACTAAACTTTTGATTCAAAATCAGACATTTCATATTTAATGACCTAATATCTTTTGGGGCCTGAAACTAACAGGATCCAGATTGCCTTGATTCTTCCTGAAGAAATTTGCTTCTAAGTTTCTTGCAAAACCATCTCATCATTCACCTCAGAGAGAACAAAACATGCTGGCCACCAAGCTCTGCACTCTCCAAGCACCTAAGTTGTTAAGGAGTTAGCTCAACCCAGTCCCAAACAAAGGACCAAGGAAAGAAAACAGAGATACCTGATGCCTCAGGATAGGGCAGCAGAGGCTCCTACCAGAGGTTTAAATTCAAGTGCCAGAAACAAAGGGAGGGCTAGTTCTCATCTCCAAATATGTAAATATTAATACTTTCCACCAACTCCTGCCTAGAGGAGACAGAAGTTAGGACCTGACTTGTGAAGTTCACAGCCCAGAAAGCAGTTATTTGAAGATAATATAGCAATCTGGAAGCAAACTGCAGACAGGACCCCTCTCAACCCTTGATCACAATAGCAAAAAGGCAAGGGTGAACGATTTGGAGTGACCTGCTTCCTGAGCTTCAGTTTACTCTGGGGTCAAGTCCCTGCCCTGGGTTTTAATTTTAGTCACAAAAGTAATACTATTGTGCTCACCTACATTACCATTTCTGAAAGAACATTAATTTATACCATTATTTCAAGTATGTGTAAGATAAGGAAGTTTATCAAGCCTTTAGAAAATATAAGTAATTTCTCACCTTTATACAGATTCTACAGTCCAAAGTCCCTCTTGAGGTACTTTTAAGAGAAAAGGTTTATCCTTACTTACTCTACCCTTTCCTCCCTACTTGAGAAAATGCTTTAACAGTTGCCAGCAACACTAAACTTGGAGAGAGTCCCACAAGACCAATAGTCTTACCCTCTGGACTGCAAGCCATGACCTTGGCTTTAGTTCCATCCCTGCCAGTGAATGCCTCTGAGAGAATCCTTTGACCTCTCAAAGTCTCAGCTTCCTCACTTGTGAAGTGAGGGGGTTGAATTAGATGATTAAATGAAAAATTTGACTGAGCACTTGCTGAGGTATATGCTAGATACTTTTAGAAATACAAAAATGAACATGAAGTAGTCTCTGCCTCAAGAAACTTGACAATCTAACTTAGAAGATAAAGCACTCATGTGCACACAATCCACATTGTATCATAGACTCTAAGTATTATAAAGTATTATATTATAAAGGATGCTCTATTGTCCTTTACAGAGGTTAATGCTCATTTGACTGAGGATAAATGAAAATCAGAAAATAGCTTCAAGGAGGTTGCACTTAAGCTAAGTCTTTAAGGATAACAGAGTCTGAAAAAGAGGAAAGTGAGCAAAGATTCAAAATAAGAAATTAAAGATGGACAGAGAAGGGACAAGGCTGGAACATATAATGACAGGAAAGCATTTGAAAAAAATGACAGTCCACTTTGGGCAGGGCATACAGGAATAATAACAGATAAAGCTGAGGTCACACTGTTTTAGAATTGGTAAATGACAAAACTAGTCCTGTGCTTAAAGAGGATCACCTGCCAGTGGTGGGTATAAGTAAAGGCTAGAGGGAAGAAACTGGAGGCACAAGCCAGCTTGGTTATTAAAATAGACTAGGAGGATAACAATAAGGGCTTGAGTCAGGACAGTTGACAGTGGAAACAGAAAGCCCATCAGTCAACATTTTAAGCTAGCACTGTTAACTTGCTACTGACCCCAATCCTCCAAGGCAAGCAGCAAGCCATGCTATGGGAAAGTTATTAAAAAGGAGAGCTATTTTGAATAAAGCTTTACTGAAACAGAGAATTAACAAGGGAGCCTAGGCAGACCCATATTGAGTTTAGATCCATCACCACCCTCAAGAGCCTTTTACTCTCACCACGTCACTCAGCCAACTGTGGAAAAGAAATATACACAGGAGACTCAAGAAACATCTTATTAATACAGTATTTATTTACCTTTCCTCTGTCAAACCCTGAGTCAACCACTTTCCCCAGGCTGCCTGGGGAAGTATAGGAAAAGGAACACACAGGGCAGACGAGACACAGGAGAAAGAACTATGGGGAGGTGGAGATGGTTCCTTCACATGGCGAAGAGGATGAGAAAGGCCACCATCAGGCAAAAGAGCCCCATGGCCTCTGAGAGGGCAAAGCCCAGAATGGCGTAGGAGAAGAGCTGTTGCTTCAGAGAAGGGTTCCTGGAAGAAGAGGAGAAAAGACTGAATTTCTAGTTCACACAAAGAAAACGACAAACATCTAAGGTAGACTCAGGGAGAATTCTCCTCTTCAAGATTGTCTTACTTAAGGAGCCTTTCAGGGTGACATCATCATGCCCAAATTCTTGCCCTGATGCATCAAGGGTTCCACAGGGACTGAATGAGGGGTGAATGGACAATCTAAAAATCCTATAACATGGCCTAGGTACAATCATTACCTTCTCCAGTGATAAGTTATCATTACCATAACTTAAGACCTTTCAGCCTAGACACTTAATAATATCCAGGGATGGAGGATGGAGGAAGCATCCAGAATGACAGGGACTATCTGGAGCAGTGTTTTCATACTTCAAGCAACAGGACTCCAAAACAGGAAACATATAAAAGCCAAACTGCAATGGTACAAAAGCGAGAAATTTAAAAGGCTTGTTTGGGCTCCCCTTCATTCTCTGGGGCACATCCTCAGAATCCTAGGACTTTATAGAACACAATTAGAAAAAAAACACTGTTCCAGAGGATAAGAATCAGAGGGACAGACTACATTCTCTCATTTGAAAACAGTAAAAGATTCTGGCCTTTAAAAAGCTACACATGGTCTGTGGGGTTTCTGATATGAGTTAAAATAGGATAAGGGACCCCCCCACCCCCTTTGGAAGTCAAAATGTAGTTTGTTATTTCCCTTACTCTGCCCTCTGGAAGTCTTGATGGTTAAGGTAAAGCAACACCAGATTTTAACAGAATTGTGGGTACAGAAGCAGTCAGGCTTCTTTTTAAATATAAACCCTAAAAAAAATAACCCTAGGCCAGGCATGGTGGCTAACGCCTGTAATCCTAGCACTCTGGGAGGCCGAGGCGGGCGGATTGTTTGAGCTCAGGAGTTCAAGACCAGCCTGAGCAAGAGCGAGACCCCGTCTCTACTAAAAATAGAAAGAAATTAGCCAAACAACTAAAAATAGAAAAAATTAGCCGGGCATGGTGGCGCATGCCTGTAGTCCCAAGCTATTCAGGAGGCTGAGGCAGTAGGATCGCTTAAGCCCAGGAGTTTGAGCTTGCTGTGAGCTAGGCTAATGCCACGGTACTCACTCTAGCCAGGGCAACAAGTGAGACTCTGTCTAAAAAAAAAAAAAAAATAACTCTATCTCCCCAAAGATAATAAGAGAACTTGCTGGTCTCTAGGGGATTAATTTAGTTCTAACGGTAAGTTGTCCATAGCTGGTAGGGACTAAATAGTCCCAGGTGTAGGGAGTAGGGGCTGGCTGCAGACAGAGCCAGTTTTCCCAGGAGTGACAGAGGTGAATTCCCAGAGATGGGGAAAAACAGTAAGCCACTATGTTCACTGATGTTTTAGACATTCACTTTAGCTTTTTCTGTAAAGGACCAGATAGTAAATATTTTAGGCTTTGAGGGCCACATATGGTCTCTATTGCTTTAAAAAAAAAACAAAAACAAACAAAACCTTTAAAGCCTGGGCAATAGTGAGACCGTTTTTTCTACAAAAAAAACAAAAAATTAGCCGGGTGTGGTGGCAGGCACCTGTAGTCCCAGGTTCTTGGGAGGCTGAGGCAGGAGGATCCCTTGAGCCCAGGAGCTGGAGGCTACAGTGAGCCATGATGAGGCCACTGCACTCTAGCCTGGGCCACAGAGCAAGACCCTGTCTCCAAAAAACAAAACAAAACAAAATTTTTAAAAACAGAAAAACCATTCTTAGCTCAACCATACAAAACCAGGCTGTGACCCAAATTTGGCCTTTGTGCCTTAGTGTCCCAATCCCTGCTCTAGACCAAAGGTGTTCCATAGAACTTCAACAATATAAATATTCTTTATCTGCACTGTCGAATACGGTAGTCTCTAGCCACATGTGGCTACGGAGCTCTTGAAATACGGTTAGTGTGAATGAAAACCTAAACTGTATGTATTCTTAATTAATTAAATTTTAAATTCAAAATAGCAACATATAGCTAGTGGCTACTATACAGAATAGTGTAGCTTTAGACGCTCAAGTATTTCTGCCCAGACCTTCGGAAAGCATATCAGAGAGCCAATGGATGGTCTGACATCTTACCTGGCGTAACCAATGATGAGGCTCCCAAACACAGTCCCAATCCCAGCCCCAGAGCCAGCCACCCCAACTGTGGCAGCCCCAGCCCCAATGAACTTGGCTGCTGTGTCGATGTCCCTTGAAATGGCGCTGGTTTGGAAGCTTTGGCTAGGGACAAGTGAGGTCAGGGGACGTGAGACTGCCAGGATCCTGAGGTTCTGTGAAGAAGACGCAGGTACAAGGTAAAGTTTTATGGAAACCCTTTTGCTTTGGAAACTTTTGTACCATTTAAACCCTTTATGCTGCCAAATCCCCCAAGGTTTCTCCTTCAAATGGAAAATCATTTAACTCTCTGGAAAACTCTCTCAAATGCTGGCAAAAAGAACCTTTTAATGTAGGAGGTAGACTTCGAATGCCTTCACAATTCAGGTGTGGTTTAGAACTGTAGGACTGAGGCCCTGGCCTGTTTTTGGTGCCCCGAGAAGATCATCTTCCTCAGACTAGATGCTCCAACTGAAGTCAGTAGACTAGGCCAAGAAATGGCAGTTAGCGGCAGCACATATGGGCTTATGCTGCTAGTGGCAAAAGCTGGAGCACTAGAACATACATTGTATTAACTGTCCTCCATCTCCGCCTAAAGCCAATGGCCTTTATACTTCACTAATTTTAGTCTGTGTGTCCCCAGCACTCCCCCTACTGGTTCTGGCAGGTAACCCTCCCTAGCCCTCACCCCGACACCACAGTCCCAACTCCACCAGTAAGGTACCTCATCTGTTAGTGTTTCTGGTCCTTTCAGCACCACTACAGACAGCGGTCGACTCAGCAGCTGAGAGGTGCTCTTGACCTAGCAGGAAATGACACAAGGGTGGGAAGGTCAAGGAAGGCTGTGGAGAGTTTTAGAACCATGCTAAGTTGTTACATCATCAGAAAGGATCTCCTCTCCTCTGATGCCCTTTCCATTCTCACACTTAAATCAGAATCTTGGATCATTTATTCTTACTTTTAGCAAAGTCTAGATTCAAGAAACCACAGCAGTTCTCTTGCTTCTCAGGTTTTGCTTTAAGGAAAGCAAGTCTATTTCCTTTTGGACCATAAGAGATTTATCTTATTCACCCTTGCTGAACCCTTTTACAGCCCTTGAGAATAAGAAATCTAAGCCTCAGAAGCATTTGCTTCACTCAACAAAGGAGATATATATACAGATACTCCTCAACTTATCATGGGGTTATGTCTTGATAAATCCGTAAGTTGAAAATGCATTCAAAACACCAAACCTAGCAAACAGTAGAGTTTAGCCTCACCTAACCTTAAATATGCTTAAAACATTTACATTAGCCTACAGTTGGGCAAAATCATCTGGCAACGTAGTACACTGTAGAGTATTATTAGTAGCAGTGGCGGACTGGGAGCCATGGCTGACTGCCACTGCCCAGCATTGTGACAGAGTATTATACTATCTTATCACTAGCCTGGGAAAAGATCAAAATTCATAATTCAAAGTATGGTTTCTACTAAATGTCTATCACTTTTGTATCATCATAAAGTCAAAAAATTATAAGTTGAACTATCTAAGTTGGGGACCAACTAACTATATCAGTAATGGCAAGCCCACAAGAAGGAAGCCAACAATTGCGCATCTTTCCCTGAACACATCCTTCTGGAAAATAGGCACAAAGATCCATGCTCAAAATTTACCTCCTCCTGGGAGCCTCTTCTGACTAACCCCAAGCCAGTGTCTCCAAAACAGATAACATGGTGGTTAACAGCCAGGGCCAGAAAGTCAGATAGGCTGACATTGAAATCTTAACTATTAGCTGTGTGATCTCTGGACAAGTCACTTAAATCTTTCTAAGCCTGTATTCTCATCCATTAAATGGCAATAATATCTCTCAGGGCTGATTTGAGGACTAAATGAGATTATATACACAAACAGGTAAACTCAGCGCTAGGCACACAGTAAGTACTCAATAAATGATACCTACTAATAGCATTGCACCTTTTTACTTATGGATAAACCAGCCGTCTCCACTATCTAGTAATTTTAATTTCTTCCACACTATTGCTTCTGAGTCAAATACTTTTCCAATATGTATTTATGTGTATTTTAGTTTCCCATCCAAATTTAAGTGCGAGAATGAACTCCCAACTATGGCTCAGTCAGGACAAGATCCTACACACTGTGTACTCAGCTCAAGTTATATAATCTACTTTAAGTTTACCACCTCTGGCTGGGTTCCAGTTTACAGGGAACATACAGTTTCAGGATCAGGCATAACCTAATCTTGATTTAGACTCTCATCTATACTCTTCTAAGACAGTTGGATAAGAACAGTTAACTGGCCTCTAAGGGATATGGGGTTAGTGGAGTATCTAGCAAGCATTCATTCTCTTCTGTTAGGCTATACAGCAAAGGGCCTTTCCTTCCCAAGAATCTCATTCACCTTCCTCCAGTCCAGCTGTGAAGAACAAGATCTGATACTAAGAAGAGACAAACTGGCCCTTGTTTTAAAACTCTCACAGAAAAAGCAGGTACTCACCAAAGAGGGGGTGGAGATGAACTTTGAGCAGGCATACATTTTCAAGGGGTGAGGGGCTGTGGCAGGAGAACTGGAATTACAGAAACAGCATTGTAAACACTGTCCTTGCTCACTAAACTACATCCTTAATAGAAGGTGTTAAGAAAGCTTAACTGCCTAGAAAGCAGAGTGACTGACCTTAAGTCAGCAGAGGCGGAATTAGAACCCTGAAGTCATGATTTTCCTCTAGAAACCCCAAACAACTCCCAAGATTTCCTTATAATCAAGTGATTTCCTCTGGTCTGAACAAGTAGGCACTTGGTCCCAGCTTTAGGACTTGGTATTCCATTTCCTTAGCCTCATGATTTGTAATAGCCAGAAGAATTTTCCCAGAGTGTCCTTTGCCTAAGTTTTTCAGATTCTATTCAAAAAGAATCCTTCTCGGCCAGGCACGGTGGCTCACGCCTGTAATCCTAGCACTCTGGGAGGCTGAGGCGGGAGGACTGCTCAAGGTCAGGAGTTCGAGACCAGCCTGAGCAAGAGCAACCTCGTCTCTACTAAAAATAGAAAGAAATTATCTGGACAACTAAAAATATATATATAGAAAAAATCAGCCGGGCATGGTGGCACAAGCCTGTAGTCCCAGCTACTTGGGAGGCTGAGGCAGTAGGACTGTTTGAGCCCAGGAGTTTGAGGTTGCTGTGAGCTAGGCTGAAGCCACAGCACTCTAGCCCAGGCAACAGAGTGAGACTTTGTCTCAAAAAAAAAAAAAAAGAACCCTTCTCTGGACCTTGTTGTCTGGGCCTTAAAAAGTTGTCCTTTAAAGACTAGAGTCATTGTGCTCTTGGGAGATATCTGTTGAAGGCCAAGACACTAGAAGGTCTCCAACAATCTTTACTGAATTACCTAGAAGTACATGATTCTTCAAAACACTTCAATTTCCTACATTAATTAACTGGATAAGGCAGATCAAGAAGGATCTCTGTCATTATTACATTTAGCAATGACTGTTAAACTATTATTCATTTTCACCATCATACTATGAAGTACTAAATTGTGTATCCCCGAGATCTGAACAAGTTTCGACACTCTGTTGGTTCTAAGTTGGCAGAATTGAACTTACCTGAGAAGAGACGGTGAGTTAAGGACCTAAAGGCAAGGTTTTTCCAAGCAAAATGAGAAGTCCACCTAAACCAAAATTACCTGGTGTATGGGTGGTGTATGTATTAAAAATACATATTCTTGGCTGGTCCGAAGGTAGTGAGTTATCTCACTTGATTGTTTAGTTACAGACTGAACTCCTTGTTCTACTACTTAACCCCCCTCCTCACTACTGCACTTGACTAGTCTTAAAAAATATATATACATATATTCTTGCCCCCTACCCTGACCTTCCTGGTCAAGATCTATGGGGATAAGGCCCAAGTGCCCTGCATTTCAAACAAGTTTCCTAAATGACTGTTAGGTACACTTAACTGTAAGAGCACTGTCTTAAAACCAGTCTAGAAACTATAGTAGTGGCAGAGGCAGGATCTGAACTCAGATCTTCTTTTTTTTTTTTTAAGAGATAGGGTCTTGGCCGGGCGCGGTGGCTCACATCTGTAATCCTAGCACTCTGGGAGGCCGAGGCAGGCGGATTGTTTGAGCTCAGGAGTTCGAAACCAGCCTGAGCAAGAGCGAGACCCCGTCTCTACTAAAAATAGAAAAGACATTAATTGGACAACTGAAAATATATAGAAAAAAAAAAATTAGCCGGGCATGGTGGCGCATGCCTGTAGTCCCAGCTACTTGGGAGACTGAGGCAGAAGGATCGCTTGAGCCCAGGAGTTTGAGGTTGCTGTGACCTAGGCTGACGCCACGGCACTCACTCTAGCCAGGGCAACAGAGTGAGACTCTGTCTCAAAAAAAAAAAAAAAAAAAAAAAAAAAAAAAAAGAGATAAGGTCTTGTTCTATTGCCCAGGCTGGAACGCACTGACCTGATCACAGCTCACTGTAACCTCAAACTCCTGGCCTCAAGCGATCCTCCTGCCTCAGCCTCTCAAAGTGCTGGTATTACAGGCATGAGCCACCACACCCAGCCAACCAATCTTCTCACTTTTAAGTTACATGCTTTTTTTTTTTTAACTCACTCACTCACTCTCTCTCTCCATTATATGTTTTGTAATACGCCACAGACTGAAATACTCAGTGAATGCTTAGGCATGTTATATGCCACTTCTGTAAATGAAATGGACTCAGATTGTCCCAGGTTATAATCCTTCTGAATCCAGGATCTTAATTACTTTTAGATTAATGTATGTCTTCAACTCTTGTCCTGTCTAAAACTCTTTTTTTCCTATGAACACACCATGTCACACTGTCTAGAACTCTGATCTTTTCCTGTATGTAACTCTAACCCAATTCTGCTGCCCGATATTCAGGTTTTCTTGACTCAAAATCCAATACTTCTTTAAAGCTTTTAGAGAAGTGAAGGCTTTTTTCTAAGGCAATTAAATCTCAATATCATCATTTGCAAAATGTAGTTCTTAGGATTAAATTTATTCATTTACAAGTAATACTTGTAGAGAGTTTACTGTGGTGCTAGCATGTGATAAGCCCACAAAAAGGGTGGCAATTATGAGAGCCTGCACAAAGTGCAGATCCCACCACTGGCCACATAACCATGGCAAGTGTGCAAATGGTAGCCTACACCTTGGGCAAAGGCACTAACCAGAATCAGGGCTTTTAAATCATCATGGGTTTCTCTACCAATGTAGATGTATCACAGAGATATGGGGGTGCTAACTTAACCATTCCCTTCCTTAAACAATTTTCCCTTCCTAATGGTAGAATATGGGGAGATTCATAAATCCTTGAGAAAAGGTGGCAGGTGCAGACTCTCATGCTGGCCCCACTAGCTTTGTCAGACTCCACCCTTCTGGGCCTGCTATCTCTAACAGAAACCCTCATCTCTAGCTCACCACTTGGGATTTTTCCAACTTCACCGGAGTGCCAGGGAAGTAAGAAAAAGGTACTGGGAAACAACCAGTGGTTCCAAAGAGACCAGCCTCTCTTCTGCCTTGGCTCTCCCAGGCACAGCCCGATGGAAAGGGGAGTTTTGGCTGTTCTGTTTGCTTCTACCACGTGCATAGCCTACTTTATAAATTGAGAAGTGCTGACTACAGGGATTGGTGGCTGTATACGATCCACTATCCCCATTGTTTGGAGCACCTGAGATCCTGGAGCCAAAAGTCTGGAGACTTCAGAATAAAGGCGGCAAGAGTCAGGTTGAAGAGAAGAAAACTGAGATAGGAGAGGAGAGCCTGTGGATTGTGACAATCTGAAATAGCAAGACGTTGAGAAAAGAGAGTCTGTAAGGGCTGGGTAGGATCAGATGAAAACGAGCACTCCCGGATCTGACTTTCGCCAGGTCCCCGGCACCCTCCCCCCACGAGACATCCAAGATGGCGCCAGGCCCGCGCGGTTGGAGGTCACCGGCACGCGGAAGAGGCGGCCCTAAGGCGCGGGGATACCGGGAGCCAGGGAGGGCGCAAGAACCTGGGTGGGAGTAAGCAAGGTAAGGGCCTCAAAGCGTCCGCGCGAGGTGGGGTGCCCCGCGCACGTGCGCGGCGCGGGAAGGGCACGAGGCCCCAAGGCCTTACCTGCTCCCAGCGCAGAGAAGACAGAGAGGGGCGGGGGGGCGGGAATAGCGAAAAGAAGGCTCGGCGCATGCGTGGCCCGGGCCAACGAGTCGTCCGTCACGGATAGAGCGATTTGAACGTGGGGGTGTCGACTCGGGCGCCATAGCGCCACCTGCCAGCTCTTTGGCGGTATCTGACCAGTTGCTCCACCTGGCGTTTGAGAGGAGAAACTACAGGCAGAGCCTACCGTGTGCAGAAATGAGGCCAACTCCGCAAAGTAAGCTGATCCTCACCGTGGCCTGCGCTTTGGTCTGCACGGCGTTTGAGATTTTGGACTTCCGACCCCTTTCCGAGCATGCGCAGTCACACTGCAAAAAAAAAAAAAAAAAATCCTGAGTTCGTCTTAAATAGCATACCGTCAGGCTTGGTGTTCAGTGCCTAAAATGGAGCAGGAGGAAAATGAAGTCTTGGGATTTCTGCATTCTGTCGCGCGGGGACCCTGGCATCATTGCATGAGGAACCGGTTTAATGGGCAAATAGTCAGCAAAATGCCCCACCTGCTTCTGGTGGCTCGCATTTCACCCCCCCCCCTCCGCTTTTCCTTAGTCTGGTGATAAGCCATGAGAAAACCAGCATCACCGAGCCAGAAGATAGGGGCTAAATGTGATCTGAAGCTCTCTTTCCTTAGGTCTGGGACAGACTCAATAATGGGCACCTGTAACCTGCTGTAGGTTGCGAAGTCACCCCAGGCATACCCAAGCCTCTGCCCAGTGTTCACCTACAAGAGTTGGTATAAACAGTACCCCCATGAGGTGCTCTCCTGAAAGCCCTGTCTTCTCTCTCGTCCCCTTTCGGTCGTCCTTCCCCTGGTGGAAGGAAGTAGGGGGGCTTCCTGGCCTTCATCTCTTCTTCTAGGCCTCTCTGTCTCCCAGACAGGACCCGACCTGCCCTTTGGAAGAGGGCAGCAAAGCCAACCTAGTTCCAAACCCCAGCCGCCCTGGCATCGTGCTTGAACGCAGCACGAGAAAGATGGGAAAAAGCTCAACCAAACCCCCATAAAAAATAAAAAATAAAAAGAAAGCCGCGGCTGTAAATAAAGCCAAATCCGCCACCCTCTGAGGGGCCGTTTGTCCTCCCCTCCTTGGCCCCGTCCTTCCCGCCGCCCCCTCCCGGCTCCCGGGCCCCGCAGCGCCCCAGCCCCGAGCTCCTCCATTTAATCGGATTTGGGAGAAGGGGAGGATAAATCACGGCAGCAGCTTTACGGTCCCGGAGGAGAGGCGAGCCGCAGCCAGGCACACCCCGGCCGGCGATAAAAACCGCCGCTGAAAGCCCACGGAGCAATTTCCCGGGACCCCGAGCGACGCCATTACAGGAATGTAATTTTGCCCGGATGAGGCCCCGAGTTTAATTATCCTCGCGGAGGAATTTCAATGCGGCCAATCCATCTTGCAGGCGGGCGGCAGAGGGATTTATATGGGCCCGTTATTTCACACCGATCCCCCATCTGCATTTTTATGGCCCTGAGCTCCTGAAAGGGAGGGGGAAAGAGTAGGGAGAAATAGGAGAAGCGGGAGAGAAGGGGGTGCGGGGGGGCGGCCCGCCTTTCCTAAATTCACGATTCCAGCTCGATTAGAATTCTCTCAGGTTTCCCTGAAATTTCCAAATCTCTTTCCAGTTCTACTTGTTGACTGCGCCTGGAGTGCGCGGGTAATGGAGAATAGTACTGGGATCCTTGGGACTCAATCAACAGGTATTTACCCAAGTACTAAGCGGTGCCAGACACTGTGTAGAGGCTGTTAGGAGAAAAGGGAAGACAGGCTAGCAAGGATCTGAGTTTATCTCCTGAGGTCCCCAGACACCGCCATCCCCGCCAAAACGGAATTCCTTTGGGCTCTCAGCTTCTCATCCTCCAGGGCTGGGAAGCTAGCTCCTCCCAAAAGTTGTTACAGCCTGCAATGTTTAATACACCCTTACTCCCATACAACGGTGGGCTCTGGATTCAGACAGAATTGGGTTCCCAAATCACTGTGTGACCTTGGGCAAGCTGTTTAATCATTCTAAATAGATTTCTTCCTATGTAAAGTGGGAATAATAATAGTGCTTACCCCACAGCCAATATTGGGATAATATACATGAAGCTTTTAGCAGTGAACTTGGCACCCAGTAAGAGTTCAATAATTGCTAGCATCATCATCACCATCATCATCATCACTTTTATTATTATAGTTAGGAGCATTGCAACTGAATTTGCATTGCTCTCTAGAGACTTTTATTGCAAGGTCCTTGAGATAGTCTCTTCTGAAAGAGACTCAATTATCACCTAAAAAAGTTTTTCACCTACCTAAATCATACAAAACAAGTTATTTGACATGCTGGTGGGTGGAGATCTGTGGGGAGGCTGAGAATCCTAGGGGCCAGTGCTATAGGGTTTGAAGCAAGAAATTAGATCTATAGGGGAACAGTGAGACTACAAAAAGTGGGTGGAGGTTATGTGAGGGGAGGAGTGAATTTGAAAACAACAAAAAGATTGTCTAAGAGAGGATTAGCTGAGGTTCTAGGGATCTTCTCAACTATGGACTTGGGAAAGGGTTCTTCCTTCACTTCACAAAGGGAAAACTGGGGTCCAGAAAGGAAAGGGTGTGGAGCCAGAACTATCCTTTCCAATCAATCCCTTTCTTTTCCTACCAGACCATGTAACAAGGTTGGCCTGATTGGCCAGTTTTTCTGATGACTGCTAGTGGCAGATTCTGACTGGTTAGCAGCCTCCCTGCACAGTGGTAACGGAGAACTGAGATTGATCTTTTCTTTTTTAGGATTGGTTAACAACCCTCAGGGGTGCCAGAGACTCATTTTAATTGACTGGATAGGCTAGGAGGGAGGTTCAGCTTCTCTCACACAGAAATTCCAAATATTCTTTTCCACAAAGGTCACCAAGAGAGTCTTGATTGGCTTATACATGTTTGCCTTTGGACGGGAGACACAGTAGCTTAGAGGAAAAAAAAGAAAATCAAGAGAATCGTGCAGGCATGCCACAGTTCAATTTCAAATCCGAGAGAGAGAGATTTACAGAAACAGAGTGATTAAAAAAGAGAGAGAGAGAGAAAGTGAGACTAGGCCACAGAGAAATGCAAAGGAAAAAAATATTATCAGAGAGTAGAGGAAGAGTTTGAATAATTTGTTTTTCATTCCTGATGGCTTAGGATGAGGCTACTTTATGACATGTTTTGCTAGATGCACATGTTGCCAGTAGGTAAAGAACAGCTGTCTTGGAAGCAGGAGACTGGGAGTCTAGTCCCAGCCCTGCTACCAACTGGTTAAGTAACTGCAAGTTACTTCATCTCTCAAAGCTCCTGTTTCTTTATTTGGAAAAATCAGGGAGAGCAGTAGGTGATCTCTAAGATTCTATCCGATGTTAACTTTCCAGGATTCTCTTTTTTTTTTCTGCTAAACAGGCAATTTTCTACAAGTTGGAGTGGTACCTTTCCTTGCACTGCCAATAAGGACTATTCTTAGATCTTTTTTTTTTTTTTGAGACAGAATTTCACTGTGTTGCCTGGGGTAGAGTGCCGTGGCGTCATCCTAGCTCACAGCAACCTCAAACTCCTGGGCTCAAGTGATCCTCCTGCCTCAGCCTCCCGAGGAGCTGGGACTACAGGCATGTGCCAGCATGCCCGGCTAATTTTTTCCATATATTTTTAGTTGTCTGATTAATTTCTTTCTATTTTTAGTAGAGACAGGGTCTCACTCTTGCTCAGGCTGGTTTCAAACTCCTGAGCTCAAACGATCCGCCGGCCTCGGCCTCCCAGAGTGGTAGGGTTACAGGCGTGAGTCACCACGCCTGGCCTATTCTTAGATCTTGAGCTTCTGTATTTATTTGTGATTGTTAAATTTCAAGCTCCTGGTCTGTGATGGGCTGGTGGGCGCTGACTGATGGATTTTCTACTTTTCCTTGCTAAGTCAGCTATCCAAGACAGGACTGTGAGCCATCAGCAAACCTCCCTACTTCTGGAGAAAGAAATCAGTAGATGAAGAAAGGGAAAGGATCACTGGTATCTAGGCTTCTGAGGGAGGAATTAGTGGAAGAATTGGTGGCAGAAGGACGCCCAAAAAATTGTTGCTGGGGAAGAACTTAAAGTTCCTTTGAATGTGTATGAAGAATTTGTACATGTCCTTCCTACATATTTAGAAGCCATGATTAAGTATCTATGTGAGCAGATTTGGTCCCTGCCATTGGAAGGTCCCTCCCAAGCCAAGGAAGACACATAGACAAAATAGAAAATAAAAGTCATTGTGATGTATTGTGAATAGCTAAGGATAGCAAACTAGAGATCTGAAGTCTAGATTTTAGAATAGTACTAATTAGTTATCTAACTTTGAGAAAATCACTTTACCTCTCTGGACTTCAGTTTTCTCATCTGCAAAATGTAGGAAAGACTAGATGATTACTAAGTTATCTTTCACCTTTAAATACTTACTAAATAGCATAGATCTGGCCTTTCTGGTCTGCCCTTGTCTCCCAAGACTTCAAGTAGTCAACCAATATTTATTGAGCATGTACTATGTGCAAAGTATTGTGCTACATATTGTGAGTGGTTATAAAAAGGAGACAACATAATTCCTTGTCTTCATAAATTAGTAATCAGTAAGAACGATATGTACATACGTAATTGTAATATGCAGCAGGATTTAATAGACTATATGAATAATAGGAGTTGAGGAGATAGTATGACTTTTAGCTAGAAAAATCAGGGGGCACCATCATTTTTTAAAAACTTATTTTAATTGTTATGGATACATAATAGTTGTATATCTTTATAGGGTACACGTGATGTTTTGATACAGGCATACAATGTTAATCAACCAATTCAGGGTGATTGGGGTATCCATCACCTCAGGCATTTATCATTTCTTTATGTTAGGAACATTCTAATTCCACTCTTTTAGTTGTTTTAAAGCAGACCCTAACTTACTGTTAATTATAGTCA